CATTTTCGGGCGTTGTGCTCGAAGATGGTCGTCCAGAACGCTCGTCATCATGGACAGAGGTTCGGCCATTTTTAAAACATGAATGCCACATAAAAGTTTGTGAACTACCCATTGCGGACTCCCCAAATGCTTGCTTTAGCATTTCATAGGTTTCCGTAGCCGTTTTGGCGAGTCTTTGGCAAAATTTGATGCACACGCCATTCCGAAATCGCAGGAGGGTCGGTGTAATGCACTACCAAAACGCCCGTAACTAAGAAACAAATGCTAATTCGATGATTCCGGCTGGCACACTGATTCATTATGAATGTAGGCCGCACCCCCTAAAAGCAGAAGCTCGTACTACATCCGGTTCGCCCGCTATTGACACAGTCTTTAAACTTTCCGATCGCACCTCGTATATAAAATTTACACTTCATAATTTCGCATCAGCAAGTATGAGAATAATGCTAAAACATTCAGAATTTTAGTCGGATTACCTAAAGGTACGAGACAAAGTCGAAGGCCTAGAATAATGAGATGATCATATTAAAATGGATAGGAAAGAAGTATAGTGAAAGAATGTGGACTATTTTTATAATACCCACTAAGCACCAAGGGCTGGTTGTAGTGAAGACGATGATTAATTTTCGTGATATACATTTAGTAGGAAAGATAATTAGCTGAGCGATTATAATTACCAGTTTCTAAAAAGACACTCCTCTATGGCTTTAGTTATAAGATTCTAAGGAAAAATCTCCATTTTTTTGTAATGTAAATCTCACTTAAAAGGACAAAGGGTACCAGTGTTTAAAGTATTAAACTTACAGTAAACACTTTAAATATGGCACTTGTGTTTACTCTGTGTAAGCCTTAAAACGAGAGAATACTTTACCAAGAGATTTTATTGATCAACCATGGTAATATATTCTGTACAGACATGCTCTTCAGAAACTTAGTGAACTGCATTTAGCCGTCACTTCATATTTAACACTAATGTTTCTAAAACAGGCAATACACACTTTTGCTTCTAAAGTGTCAGTGGATTAAAGGTTATCCTACTTAGCAACTACTTATAATACGTGTTCAGTAGATGTGGCTAGAATATTTTAGTATTGTAAAAATTATTATGCACAAAAATAATACAATACTTATTTTTTCAAGTTTTTATGCGAAACTCGTCACTTCGTGGAACTAGTGGTCGGTTCCACACTCAAGCCTTTTTATCCAGATAAAGAGCAGAGGTTACGCGATGGGTCCCAGATTCGATTTAAATATCGTGGATGAGAGAAAATATCTCTGATTCTATTTGTGACGAAAATAATTCCAAATAATAAACGAATTAATAGGTAATCTAGTCGACATTAGGAAAAAGAGATTTTGAACCAAGATCAACCTGTATGAAAATTTAGGGTTCTCATGGCGATAAAGATTTTTATGTTTGTTTTCTGGATTATAAAGTCGTGAGGAGTTATACTTAGATTCTAATATATTGGTCCTGAAGATAGAAACAGTATAGTCCTCCGAAACGTTGGTATCTGCCTACAAGTCTACACATTTTCCTACCAAACCTGTGAGCACTACAGACAATTTATTTTTATTTACTACATTTTCAACTTATACCTAATTTTAGTAACCAACAGATTGTTCTCACATTTTCTTTTCACGAGCAATTCGCCTTCAACAGACGCACTCAGGAATTTCAGGTATCTCAATTCACACCTACTTAAGCCATTTATATGTGTCCTTTCTTTAAGTCCCAGTGGTAACTATATGTGCCACTTACTATATCAATAAATAACTCTGAATTTTCTCATGGAGTCTATTTATGTGTTTCGTATGATTCTCAGAATAAACAGCGATTATTTCCTTAAACACAATTAAATAGGCGTAGTGTTGTGTTTTCATTGCGATAGGAACCGAATATTTAACTAAATTTAGATTAGCTTCGGCTACAAAAGGTTGATGCAGCATCTAGCCGTTGAAAATTTATCAGCACACGGATTACCCTTCTCTTCCTACGCCCTCTGAAATCTAGTTATTTAGTTTTCCAAGTCTCTTCTTTACACTACAAATATGTTCAGGGCAATTAAGGTTATGAATGTAAAGGGATACATAAACTTGAAGATCTTTTCCGAGAACCAAGTTGGCTGCTCTGTTAGAAAGTTAGAAGTAGTTTGGATTCCAAAATAGGTGCTGAGATCTTGGTTAACGAGCCATAGAGTTAAATTGTCTGAAGGTAGATTGCAGTCCTCACAATACCCACATTTGTTTAGCCATTTGAAGCCAGAAACACGTCTAAATAATATCTTACAATTCAATCCTTACCTCAAAGAAAACAATTCATTATCATTACAAAGATCAACTGGTTGTTTTTGTTGACGTAAGTAATTGATGTTTATTCTGAGAATCAGTAATACATCGCGCACTTATACAGAGAAGCGTGACGAATATTTATTGTTATAATGGAAGTAGATACGGAGTGTGACCAACATTGCAAAAACAAGGTGATCTTTTGGCACTAGTCGGACGAAACATTACACAAAGGATGCGTTGCATTGATTATACCACTGAACTATCTTTAAAGTACCGTAGTTTTACGGTTTCAACGCGTGATCTCTCCCTTACAATAAATACGGACAATGTAACGTGAAATATAAAACTAAAATTTTGGTAAACAGATGATTAAAACCGAACCGTTTGCCTGAGGATGAGCTCGATTACGGTATTTAAATTTCCGGCTGTAAGGGTTAATTTTTTTTTTGTAAAAATTCGAAAAATGGTTTAATTAGTTTTTTGGAAATACTGGAATTCAGAATCCGGTATTTTCAAAAGTCGGTTTTTGTATAAACCCTAGTCTCAACGCTACTGCAGAGCCCCAGTAAACACCAGGGCGCAACGTTGAACATCTAAATAGTAAGGATTAGTAAGAAATGTCGTTTTACTATGCAAATGAAGGGTGAACTTTCAAAAGCACGTTCTGCGGCTTGTGCTAACACGTCATTGATATGCACAGAGATATCTTCATATAAATCTTAATCGATTAGGGAATAACGTGGTATCAGACAACATACACTGTGGTACACAGTTACCAATGTCGTATAAACAGATAACCAAGCTAGCCATCACTAAAACTAACTCAACGGGGCAAATTTCTTCTTGACAATCTAATAGACACTCAGTCTAAAAATTGCAGTGTTTTATGTGGTCAGATGTTTTATTACCGTGTTCTCGAAAGGTTATTACAGCCCTTATCCTGAGATATACGAATACAATCCTCATTCCCACACCGTATTTTCTTAAGACCCATTTTAATATTATCCTACTATCTTTGTCCCGGACTATCAAACTGTGTCCTTGCTTCTGGTTCTCCGACAAAAATTTTGTACCATTTTCTCATTTCCCCATGCGTGCTACTTGCCTACCAATCTCATCCTCGTTCATTTGATAATTGTATTAATAATAATGGTAAAGAGTACAAACTATGAAGTTCATCATCGTGAAATTTTCTGTAATCTACTGTCACTTCTGCCTTCAGTCCAAAAATTTTCCACAGCATCT